GTTTTTCTGATCGGGCCCTGACGTTGCTTGTTCTACAGGCTCAGTAATACGATACCAATCAACGTGGAGAGAGTTGCATTTGTCATCTAGTGGCTTCGGTCGATCAAATAAATATAAAATAAAAATCAATAAGGAAATCTGTTTTACCTACCGCTAGCTATTCGAAGTGCGTATTATTCTTGTTTGACTGTCCTGTCTTTCACCGAGACTGTGCTGTCCGTGAGATGGCAAACCCTAAACCCCAAAACAGTGAATGTTACTTGTTCTCAGAACGAAGGTCGCCGAGTGAAATTCATGGAAGGAAGCCACAAGTCTCAGAATTTGTCAGACATTCCATTCTGTGAGTGTTTTATCAAATCAGCATTAGAAGGTTGTCCTATGGAGGCGTATTTCAGTCGCTAGTTTGACGAAGCCTCGGTGCTGAGTGATTCAGTTCGATGGCAATATCTACTTTGAGTGGGCAGAGATCACTGGTTTCTTCACCACAAACTTTCGTAATCGTCAGCTTGGAGCATTGTTTTGAAAGACCCCTGTCATAAAGATATGAGCTGACCTGAGTGCCATATGTCCGTGCGTGGATGGGTTAGGTTATTGTTATATGCCCTGTGTGTATAGACTTGAGTGCACATTGCAGAAAGCTTGATGCTGTGAGCAATCCCCCGGAACATACAGTTCTACGTCTTCTCCAGCACTGGTGTCAACCTAAGATCCCAGCCTTAGTGAACTCAGAAATAATGGTTTAGAAAAATGAAAGCAAGTAAAACGTTCAATTTGGGTGCAAGGTTTTGGTGAAATTAGGGTTGCTTTCGTGAATCGATTTTCTTCCAAGCAAAATAATCTCATCTTTGATCCTGGTGGTGGTTTTTGTGCACTGCAACGTTTGATTAATACTGCCTCTTTTGTTAGAGGTTATGGTCTCGTCGAGTATTGTCGAAGGTCCATTAAATATTTGACTGATGGTGAATGCTCTCTTCTTCCAAACCGACAACACTTCAAGTAGAATTGCTTAATCCGTTATTCTTCATTTGGTTTCTTTAGGTGACCATGGCAGTTGGTGTCTCCATATCCGCGTTCTCACTTCCTTCTGAGCATGAAAGTTAAATGGAAGTTACTAGGTGCTTGACGGAAGCCCTAAAGGGAAGCATATTCCCGATAGTACAGTTTTTTCAAACGGAAAATCTGCTGGAAATAATGGAACCTTCTTTCTTTCGGGTGAAAAAAAAACTTATCTCAAGATACAGGTGATCATGTTCGCTTTGTCAGCATTCGATGAAAAAGGTATTTCGAAGTTTGAAAAGAATGCAATGACTTATATGCGTAGCTGAAACATGTGAGAATCAAAGCACAGCATTCCATTTTTCTAACGCTTTGGCGCGTAGTATAACCCCCTAACTACAACCACATAGGGTGAGGCTAGTCGGTGTGCTCGTCACCACTGTCTCTCAACTACGACCAGTTCACTTGTTTTTAGATCTTAAAAAGTTGGAATCCTCACAGCTACTGGATTGCATCGGAAGAGTATACTACACAGTAGGTGCTGCAGTACTTTTTGTGCCAAACCTTCAGAATACAGTATGAGAATGGTAGACTTTGTAGATTATCTTGGTTTTATCGAAAGAGGCTGGAATAAATATCAACTGAATCTCTAGTTTGCGATAATATTCGACTGAATCTACTATGGAAGTCAGCCTCATGTTTCAGTTGGAACCAATTCAAATATTTACAAGGTTACCGGCAGCTATACGACAGTCCACTATCGACTACACCTTCCTTAGGACTCTCCGTTAGGAATAGTTCCCAAGTTCCCATCAACCTTTTTTCTTACTACGGTCCCTAACTGTTCATAGGTCAAAAACTCACAAAATACGATCTAATTTTACCGAAGGACATTTGGATCACAAAAAGTTCCCGAAACGAAGATTACCTTCCACCATTTCACAGTGTGTAAATCCCGGAGGGCATATGTAACAGATATCTGCCGAATTTCTGTCGTTATCGCCTCAGGAGGAGATGATCCAGATTTCTTATTGATGTTGAATGAACAAAGCCAATTTCATACTTGAGGGAGACGTGCAAGAGTTGAACAAATTTTATCTGACTAGAGAGCTAGAATCAGGTAAGCTGAACCTAAGCTCACCAATATATTGGTTCCAAGACTCTGATGAAGCGATTCATCATTATGAGTGTGACTCAATCTTATTCTCACTCAATAGAAAAGATAGTGACAATAGTTTCTTCGAAGATTATGAGCACTTATGGGTTCTTCTGGAGCCACGGTCGAGTGAATTTTGGAGGTTGTACTGAATTCAGAGGTGAAGGGTAATTATTTTAATAAATAAATCTGATTAAAGATTCGATCGATTTAATAAGCATTTTCCGGACTTATAGCTTGTCTTCCAAACAAATCCTCATCCTATGGCTCGAACTTTTAAATTCGAACTTGCATTTAACTAGAGACACAAAATGACATTGAATGCTGTTTGTCACTACCCGAAAGCCTCTAGAATGCCGGCAAAGGACAAAAAGCAAAGAAGCGACGGGCTACGCTTGCTTTCGACTCAGATGAAAATCTAATCAACCGAAATGACCTGTTTTGTAGGGTAGTGCGGATGAATTTAATGCTAATAAGGAAATTGAACGCCTTCCGAAAAATTGCTGACCTGGTCTAGATTACCACCGCTAAATGCACCGAGAAATCTGTTGCGTAGCCATATTACTGGTAGCGAAAAAACATCATAAAACACTATGCTGAGCCGAAATTCGGTTAGGCCGAATTTCCCGTTTCCCTCTCCGCTGTCCTTCAGCTTGTAACATTCAAATCTCTAGCGGTACTGAAATATATATTTATGAGTAACCATGCCTTATTATACACAAAACCCCCGGGAAGGAATGAAACGCTTAGATCAGTTTTGCTCGATTTCGGAGCAGGCAGCGTTCTTTGCCACTCGGTGTTGAATGGAGACATTCTGTTCGTGAATTATGTTTCCAATTCCATTACGCCCACATAATTCCTCCTCATTCCATAAGTACTGTTGATGGGCCTATTTCGCCTGCACAATGACCTCATCAAGTGGAGGAATGTAGTCATTAGAAGTTCTAATTTGAAAACCGCGGTCATTTTCCTCGCATGTTTAGCCAACTGAGGTTTATCTATATAGAAGAAATGCCTTTCCAGACTACCGTGGCACTGTCAGTAAGGTTACTTCCATGCTCTACAGTGTTTGCGTTACAGCTTTGTGGAGGGTTTTTGTCAGTGCACGCTTTCGCCAGATTGATGCAAAGGTCTTGAGATACACAAGTCTATATTCAATCAATTTAGCAAAAGGCGATAAGTGTTCGGGCACGCCACAGAAGAACAACCAACTATGATAGGTATTCAGGCATTTCATGGAAGTACGGTCAATGTTGATGGGTGGTCGCAAAACATCGATCAGACAGCCACGATCAATGTCAAAAAGTGCCCTTTAAATAGCGCGAGGCCGTTGCAAAGTTTGCACTCGCTTGTGTGCAATAAGGACGTTGTGCTCTTTGTTGACGAGCCCTTTTTCTGGCACAAAGGCGATGGAGTGGGGACAGCAACGGGGTATATAGCAAATTAATTTTCGGGACGCTGATGGCCAACTAATGACGGAATGTGAGGAAGAGCTGAAAAGACTAATTGGATATTTCAGCTCGCCATCAATCACCCACTGGACAGACTAGCCCAGTTTCTTTTGATTGCAAATGCCTGGGTTGCTAAGCGTTACAGCTAGATCTTCCGCTGTGGCTAGATGGTGAACCTGACGGTTCAATATATGGGTACATGATAGATGATCCTGAAAGCGCAGTTTTATTGATAGTGTGAGATTTGGAGATTTTGAATGAAGCGAAGCCATCTATGTGGAAAGGCCGAGAAGCCTGTTCCGTCGTTATTTAGATCACTGACAATGCACATCTGACGAATCCCCAGTGGGATTTGAACCCGAGAATTCGCGGTCAACCTCTGGGTCACAAGCGCCTGATCAGTGGCTTGGTTAACTGGGGATGAGACATGGTATAGCGTCACTCATCCTTCATTCGTGTAATCCACATCGTTTGCCCTCGGGTTAATTGGTGCCTCGAGAGAGAGAGTTGGCAGCGTGAGGTGATCTTTCACTACTTTATGTGACTAATTATAGGGTTGGTGTCTTGAAAAACCCATCATCATGTTTTCCCTCATCGAGTAGGTCTAGTCTTCTGATTATCACGAAACCTGTTTAGTTAGCAAACTTCAAATCTGACGCGCAGCAGTTACAAGTTCATATGTAAATGGTAGCGATAAAGAGCGATCCAAACTACTACCTCTCTTACAAGAGTCGTTAACTGTATATGTTATGCAAAGGCCACCCTGGGTCTCATGTGAACGATATTCAAGATATCAGACTATTTTCCTGATAGGACATTGAGTGAAAGACTAATGAACAGCTTACCGAAGTCTTCGTCCTTTTGGGAGCGCATGAAGTGGACCTAGTTCCCAAATTTCCAATAATCTTAATAATGGAAGATTTCCCAAAAATGGTTCAGTACGTCTCCGAAGTAAGAAGCAAGCTTCTGGCCACGTCTTCGATTTAAGTATGTTTTACATGGTTGATTGGCTCCCGTTCAAGATTGAAGAAGTAAATGATATCCCAGCCGTTCATTTATGGAACTTCACAGTTCCGAAACGCAGTTGGTTTTAAATTTCCCGGAAGCAACACACAGACCATGTGTGGTCGCCTACCTAAATCAAGCAGCGTCTCGGTGAATGGTTTGAAACACCTTATCAGGTTTGTACACATTTAAAGCACAAACTGTGGAATGTAAAGGTAAACTGGTCAATCTATATGGATGTTAACTGCAGGGCACCCGTTATAAAAATACTCAATATTCCTCACCAATTATTAGCAATTTAGCTCAACAGGTGCTTACTAATAGTGCACACTCGCTGCCTGATTCAAGTTGACGACGATCTGGTCTATGATTAAAAGGATCAGGCGAATGACGTTGGCTGTGGTCTTTCATACAGAAACATAGGACGCACAAGTCGGCAAGTTTATCGGTCTAAAGCAAACTTTTTGCCGAACACTGAAATTAAGGTGACCACGAGGTGTGGGATACTAATTTGGCAGAACATTTCACCTGATCATTTGGAGGCAAGATCATGGCGGAAACGTTTTCATGAGTGCCTCTCAATTGATTAGGGAAAGGGGTAACAAAATACTGCGAAACAGACAACAGAAACAGTGAGGGAACGGGTGCAGCTGGTAAATCTTTTCAAGAAGAATAAAAATAATGTTGGATGGCATATACTGAGCTTGCCTTAGGGCACGTATAGTATTCGCCTGCGTAAAGCAGCAGAGGGCGAACTGTAGGAGGGTCGGAAAGTTGAGGTACGTGTCTGCTGAGGTTGCAGTTTCAGCTTCTTCATTTGCTTCCAGCCGGGCATAGATACTTTTAACCATGGAAATGAGATTAAGCTCAAAAGAAATTGGAATACGGGTCACAACCAAAGCAGATTAAGAGGATATAGACTAGATACAATATGAGTAGAACAAATCAGTTCCCTGGGTCGCTGACTTAAAATGTATGGATAAGTGGGGGGATGAATTCACGGATGTAATTTATGTGGACCCGGTTTCCAAACGGATACATCTTCGCCTGGGCGATGGAGTGGCGGTGTTTTGTCAGGCCACAGAGAAGCTGGTGCACGTGAAAATCGGCGCGGTTAGCGCTGACGTGGTGGAGTGAATAAACGTGTGCCTCCTAAAACGCGTGCTCGTTGGTTTACTTGGGGAGGAGATCAAAGTTAAACGGATTGTTGGCTTCGCTCATATATTTGGGGTAATCACCGACTTATCCGTGTGGTTTGTTACGGAGGATATCCGTATGCGAACCTCGTCAACGTCAGCGGGAGATTGAGCATTAACAGAGGGCCCGTTTTGAGCAGATTGCAACGAATCAATGGGTGCTGGGACCCCGGGTGAAGATTTATTGCTGGATCCACTTGACAATGCGGCTGTGTTACCGGCAGAATTTGGCGCTGGGCAGCAAGTATCTGACTGACAGTTTGTATTTGGTCCACAGTCTAGAACACAAGTTTGGTAATCGATATCACCCCGAACGTCATCCTCAACGCCCTGAAACACACGACATAGACAATACGATTGAGCAGGTTTTATGGCGGCAAAGTTAAAACGTTAGTGTGTTGTTGCGACGACACTAACAGGTACATTAACCTTCTTCTCGGCTTTTCAGCATAGATTGGCTTCACTTACAGGATGAAATCACTACAAAAATCCCAAATCTCTTCACACCACCAACAAGGTACATTAACCGTCTGGCTAAGCAATCTTCTTAAGAGCAATAACCCTGCTCGCAAAAAAATGATTTCTGATAACCGAAAATGTCTGCTATAGAGTATCCTTCATACAGCGAAAATTTCTTCAGGACGCAACGAGAAATACCCTATAAGAATTTTTTATTGTTGCATTGTTTCCATCCTCTGGCTGCAAGTGGGTCTGGGCTCCACACATTTCACTCAGAGGGATCCAAGAAAAAGCACAAGGAACCAGCACAGCAATGCTGGAAAGGGCTACCGTATGGACACATTTAACACCAGCAGCACCGAAAATCTTACCGTCACATTTGCACCGAACTACTTTTTCGGCTGTAAGGTAATTAGTTCCTGAATCAAAATAATTGGGTAACTGCATTTAAGAAAGCATCATTATCTCAGGTTCGCTGACCATTACTACAAACTTCTTTAAATGCTAACTGGACTACAACCGGCACATCGTGGATAAAGCTGCCGTTTATCAGCATATTTCGGAATACTTAACAAATAGTGTTATTTGCATACATACTGTGGGTTCAGTTAATCTTGTTTATCAGGGGTTTCAGAGGTAGAAAACTCCTATTAAGGTAACGAAGAACGAGTATTTTCTACCATTCCAATCAATGGAAACAGAATGCCTATTTGGTTTTTGCTGGCTATTCTCTCAGTAGAACGCAACCGGATTTGCCTGTGCCACATGAAGGACCAACGCGTATGTAGTCCCAGAAACGATCAAAAAGACCACTCCTTCCTCATCCTGACATGAGGGTACTAACCACGGCTTGAGATCTGCTGCACCTGGGAAAACGGAGCCCTGGCGGTAGTGCTACCAGAATGTGCTGGATTCTCGGAAGGCAACCGTTCGACAGTTCATGTGCCTTTTTCTCCTCTTCGAAAACATCTTCAGTGCGCTGAATATGTCTCTTCGAATGGTGACGAAAGGTTTGCAAATCAATTGCCAAGCTCGGCGAACAGATCAACAGCCACCTGATCAATTACCAATGTTCTCCATATCTTCGAACAGGACGGTAAGAGATTGTCGGAGTCAGAAGTTTTGCGGCGTTTGAAAGGATAAACTGCCGAATCTGAATGGGTTCCATGTTTCACAAGATTTACCTTACATTTCGGCAATACTGCTATCACAATTAACGTGAAACGAAAATAGATAGGTGTGAAACAGATTAGGAAATTCACGACCGGATAGTGAGGGGACGCAGATTTTTCAGGAATTAACATGATTGAGATTAGGTCAACACAAGTAACATGACGAATTAAGACATATTTGAAGCAGTAAAGTTGTGCAACCTGAGCAGACCAGTGCAGATTGCATGTACATCCTCACTGCAGTCATGTGTACAGGATAGCTGGCACCTGATGATCTTATCGGACTTCGGTGGGTGGTATGAATGGTTAGCTTGTACACCGCAAACAACTAACTTACCTAACACCCATCATGACCATCGACAGCATAACATGAGTATTCAATACTGATGCTTCGCCTGAAAACTCTAATGTGAATAAAAGGATAAAAGTGGATGCGGACGGGACTTAGAACTAGTCCACTACATCTCTGCTTGCGACAATCTGATTTGGGTACGGAAAACAACATTCTTCGGTAAATTACGGCTCTTACGCATAATACATAGCCTAACCAAATGGAACCCGTTGAACAACTGAATATTTGTTGTCTAAATACCTCGTTGCGGATTCACCGACACCAGTCTTCACGAGCTATGGCTTTGGGACAGTGATCGTCGAAGTCCTGAACATGCCTCAGTTCCGTTGCTCGAAGAGGCCGCGTCTCTCAGATTTACAATGCAACATCTCGTACTTTAGTCTGATACACATGTCCCTTGAGATTCAGAGATACGCCGCTTTACTTCCATAAGGTTTGAGTCAGCAGCTATTTGAACACCAGGCTTTTGAAGACCTTCCAGCGTTCGTCCGATTATCACGTCCATCACGAAATTATATAGGAATGGAGAGGATAAGCAAACTTGACGCTTCTAGAGAGCTTTCCATATGTCGTCCTTAGCAAGCTTTGTTGTCATTCGAACGCTCCGATCACTGTATTATGCCTTTTACCCATTACGACTGGAACAATTTCTAAGGAGCTATTTTAATAGCACTCCATGACATAGCAAACAAGGTTGATGTAAACAGCCATTCACAGTTGCTGTTTCGGAATTCCTTCACCTTTCAGCAGCCATAGCATATAAGTAAGATACTATTCCAGTTAAAAGTTGACCTCGGAAATGCCAATAAACTGACTGGTCATTTCCAAATATGACTAGTAGAATAACACCAGAGGATTAGAAAAATTCTCTAAATGAACCCTAAACACAACCAACATAGTAATGTGTAAACTCCAACAGATCTGAGGAACCCAACCTGACTGAACTACACACAAACCCATATCTGCGCTCCGAACTAACTATACTGAATATTCGGGCGTCTAAAATTAAAGGCGATATCGTTTGTTGAACGACACAGACCGTTTCATACTTAGCTTGATTTAATGGGTATGTAAAGTTAGGAAAATCTAAAAAAACACCAGTCACATGCTACATCCTCACCAGATTTCGGTCTCAACACCACCGGTCGGTGTCAACCACAAACTTCTCATAGATAACACGCTTCAAAAATAGTACCTGGTGATTATTTAACTTCTTCGATTTATAAAGTTGGGCAAAAGCTGCAGCTGCTGATAACAGGAACCGTGAAATGAATGTAAACGAGCAGTGAAATTTACGCGCATTGAAGGACGGCAAACAATTGACTCACCTCTTCAAACTCCGGTTGTATTGTTGTACAGTGGATATTGAATTCGTGGAACAACTCCTTTACTTTCCGGGCAATATTTAGATAATCAGCTGCAAAACAATTAGAATTTGCGGGAATAGCAGGACAAAAGACGAAACTATAAATTCACGAAATTATTGACCACCACCCAGAAATAATCAAGGCATGCTATTCATATTCGTGATGACAGTGCGTCAACAATGCAAGCCACCGATCTCTAGGAGCAATCATGTGTACTTCGGTATATCGGTGTTTAAATGAAAAACAAACTGATTAGGTTTATTTTCCGGTTAGTGTGAGACATTTCTGGTTAGGGGGTCGCACCTAGCGCCCCATTATAACGAAGAACTACCATTCGAGCATAGTAGTAGAGTGAAATTCGATTGCGCTCCAAAATAATCTGAGCACGATGAACAGTGATAAGGACGAGCAACGAGCGTGCATGCGCACCTAATTTAGGTTAAACAATGGCGTTCCTATCATGGGGTGGTGAGCTTGCTTTTCTTATTTGGTCACAGGTCCGCTCTCCATTAGTATGTCTGAGTTCGAACCGGACAAGTTGTCGCTAATGAACGAAACTTGAGCTAGCAGTTCAGAGAGAACTCCTGCCACTTTAAATAAGGAGGAAAGCGTGACGCATTGACCTTTACTCAACCTAATAGTATGCATTAGGGCATTTTAACGCCATGGCTTGATCACAGCATGATTTCCAAACAGTGAGTGGACGGGTTAATCGTTCGACCGGACTACCTGTTCTGAAGTGACTGCTGAGAGTGAGATGTAGCCCGAAGATAAGACTGCCGCTAATCACCAACAGTTTCTGTCAGCATCTTGACAATGGCCATGATATCTGATACGTTGGTAGTGTGAGGTGTGTGAGACAACCGTGATCATGGGTAATAAAACCGCTGAACCGTATCAGTGGAACCAGCAAAAGGAACAAGCTGAGGATGAGCGTCACATCATGAATCGTCACCGGCTATAAGCTTTTAAGCTCAACATAATACGTGGCTCACGAATGAGTACACTAAATGGTACGCAATCCTTCCGTTGCTTACTTGAAGGTGCGATAGCCTCCTATTAATTTCAAGACGCTAGGGTCCCATTCCTAGGATGTGGGCGCTCAGTATCGTATCGCACGGTGCCAGTATACCAATGAAAAGGACCATTTCAAGTTCGGAAGGTGAAATGTTTTAGTGAAATTTAGAACGAGGTGGACGAAACTTCAGTGCAACGCGACCGCTAACTTTAGTTTTGTGCTAACAGAGGGCTACACACAGAAAGCTCCAGGGCGCACATCAACTGCGAGGAAATTCGACCGATGAGGACCATCCGTAAAATTAAATGACCACGTATTTTGACGTGGATAGATAGTAATCAATCTTGACCTGTGATACATGTAAATAACACGTTAACCGCATGAACACAAACGTAACCGCGGTACAAAACATAAATCACAGTTTGATAACATCGAAGGTAGCGACGTAGCTTGAGGAGGATACATCATCAAAGTAGACGGCGTGATCATTCCTCACGTCATTGCAGTCCTAGTGCTTCGACAGATGGCTCCCTCTACCTGATGTTAGATATGCGGAAGTAGTTCGTAGTCTTGTTGGTGTTTCGGGGTGCACCGACGGGTACGATCAAACTTTGTGATACAACAGATCCCCCGTTGCGATTCATTAGTTCGACAAAAGGGCGCACTTGTTACTTCCGACAGATGAAAACGCCAAAGGCAGTACGTGAAGGTATAATGTTAACAGGTTTTTCTAGCTTAGCATAGGTTCTGCATTATCACTGAAATCGGACAACTAACAGATGTTGCACAAGAAATAAAAACACATTTTAGAGAGAGTTCAGGAAGAAAAATACCTTAGCACATGAAGGAGATTCATGGCTCCACCATTCAGAATGTTAATGACTCAGACTTTGTTTTCCACTTCAGCTAAACTGATACCACACATCACTGCATTGATTACAGCTTTCTAAACAAGCCTGTGAGATGGAACTCTAAACGTTCCAACACATACTTCACCACACAATCTTTCTGTTGCCACTTAGTACATCAAATTTCCCCTCAGTTGTGATATTTTGTACTTTATCTTGGATGTTAGGTGTTAATAATGGACACAGAAAGATGAACAATCTTCTATCGTCAGCGCTGAATCACCTAACCTTTCTATAAACTGTTCACCCCACGTAACAAGGCTTTTGAAAGTATAATTGCTCAGTGAATTGTCCAAGTCCACAATCAATAATGGATGCCACGTCGGTGATCTCAGAAAAAGAGGCGTGATTATCCAAGTATTCAGTGTAACAATTCCCTGATGACGAACACAAATTAACAAGCCCCTACTTAATTTTTATCCTATTGAATGTCGTCTCCCTTGATCCACTAGATACTGACAACTGCGTCTCTGTAGCATGCGCAAAAATGGTGTGAAATCCTCGGAACAATTCTTGGCGAGCACGAAAACGGCATTATTGTCCTAATTCATCTCCAAAATCAGATGTTCATCGTCCCTTCACCCAGAACTATTTAACGGAGTGTTAACTTCTAGGGTCCGGGAACAAGTGAAACTACACTTTCATGGTTCGGCTGCACATGTACTGTCTGATGCGTCGTAAACTGGTGAACCGTCTGTCAATGAATTGGCCTGAGGAAAGAACACTCCTCTGAAATAGCATCTCATGGATCTCACTTGTACGAGATAGCGTTCACACAGCCTATCTATGCTGGAAATTCACATCCGGGTACAACCAGTATTTGACAATTAGGTGAAAGCTATCTGGTCAAAGTTCTAGGAGAAGGTAAAACCGCACCCGAAGTGTTTTACCTGTTTCCTGAAAAGAAACATTTGAATCTGGAACAAAAGCACGGTTTTTCACGATTTCTATGTTAATATTTAAGGCGATCAACCCACGCGGAAAAGTGTGCAAAACTCTGAAATAAGTTATGATAAACTGGCAGCACATGAAGTACTAAAAACAATCCATCCATAATCTTGAACCTTTGGAAAGAATGGATCAAGCAGTATAGACCCCACATGGCAAATCAACGAAAAATAGTGAGAAGTCCGACTGCCAACAGCACCAAATTATGACGGTTGAAGCGGGAGTAAGTAATGAAAAAGCAAGAATACTGATTCAGTGTTATTCTATGGTTTATGCAACACAGTGCATTCAAGTGTTTCCGCGTTTGATTTGATATCACACAACTGCGCACGTGGCCAACAGGCACCAAACGGTGGAGACAGCTTTATTCGCGTCAAACTAAGGTGTAATAAAGCTAACTATACAACCACTAGTTGTGAGCTGTGAAGGTGCGCTTACCGCCTTGTACAATGTAAAGTCAAGAAACAGGAAATAAAGCGGAATCAGCAAATAAGTGCAAGTCGTCCGAAATTGCTGGCCAATTCTGCCAAGTATTTGGCAATTAGATGGCAATTACTGACTCAGTATCTGCCTGCCAGGAAAGTCGATACTGACGAATTGAATACAGACCTCTGGAACCCAGCGCTATTATACAATTTTATCAAGCATTAGGGAGCAAAGTACCCACCAAGTAATACCGTTGAGTTGAGGTTAGAGAAAGCACAACCTAGGGACCTCCAATGTTGAAACCGCTCCTCGTTCTGAGAGTTGGTATGAATGTTGTTCTATCAATAAGGATTTAAATGTTACATTTGACATATCACTTGTTCCGGTACCATAACCAACAATACATAAGCAGTATAATGTACATGTGATGTTCCTATGGATTGCACGACCAAAGCACTTAAACAACACTGAGGCCAAATGTGCCGAAATCTAGAGCCAAAAACGAAGTTTACATAATCAGTGAGGCCCTTGCTTCCTGTCACTCAACAACTACAACAACATGTCGTTGAAAGTACAATCAGAGGTCACGTGACAGTGCACTGGTATGACCTGTGTATTTCAGTTTACTATCAGAGAATAAATGTGGACAGATAAATTTCATGTCAACCATTCGAGACCATTGTCGAAATACAATCATACGTATAAGTTGTCCAAGCAGACTATCTGCACACTTTTATCACCGCAAACATTAAGAACTGAATAAGAGGATGGGTGAACTGTTAAGAAATACACTGTTGTACAAAAATATGTAAAGATATTGGTAGCTCAGGTGAGTTTATTGTTTGGTGATCGCTGTAACACCCTGTGGACAGATAAATTTCATGTCAACCATTCGAGACCATTGTCGAAATACAATCATACGTATAAGTTGTCCAAGCAGACTATCTGCACACTTTTATCACCGCAAACATTAAGAACTGAATAAGAGGATGGGTGAACTGTTAAGAAATACACTGTTGTACAAAAATATGTAAAGATATTGGTAGCTCAGGTGAGTTTATTGTTTGGTGATCGCTCATCTGTAACACCCTTTCGGTGCCTAGCCTCCATGCCACCCAAAGGAAGCACGAGGGCTGGGATACTTCCAGGTTGCCCAATCCCAAACAGGAGAAGTCCAGATGAATTGCTTGAGTTCGAACCATAGACCTTCCGGTCAGTACATTCGGGGGCACCAACCACTGCACTATCTCGCCCCCTTGTTTAAAGATCTGGTACACAGTTATCTGTTTGCCTAACTAAGCAATTAGCTTGACACTCAACCGCCTACCGATGATTTCTACTCTATTGGTGAAGAGACGCTTGCAAGCCAATTGACGAGTGCAGCGAACAAATCAATGGCCATCTGATCAAAAAGCGCCGCTGCGCGACCGATAGGATTTTATTAAAAGTTTGAAGGAATGGAAATCAGTCTACACTGAAGAAAACAGGCTCATGAAGTTGGTAACCTTCAAAAGAGCGTAAATCCCTGGAAATTGCTTCGCGCGGTCGACGTAGGGGATCCTCAGACGCTGGAGATGCATGCAAAAACTGACTCAGTGTCCCAGACGAAAGGACGCTTCCAAAAAGAAGACGCCCTCGTTGTGCGGGAAACGATGTATATTTTGCCCGTAGGCCATACAGTGGTGCCAGCTACGGCTTGACTTTCGACTATCGACAGTTATTATTATTATTATTACTGTGGATCCCAAAT